TGATCTGTTCTGACTAAAAACTGTTTGCCATACAAGTAGTGTTTGTAGTACTTTGTAAAGTAGACAACAGCCAACAGCTCCTTTCTTGTAACGCAATATTTTCGTTCGGCTTTTGATAAGGTTCTGCTTCCAAAAGCAATTACTCTTTCTATTCCGTTTTGTGTCTGTGAAAGAACTGCCCCTATTGCTACGTCACTAGCATCTGTATCCAAAATAAATGACTGTGTAAAGTCAGGATGGGCAAGAATTGGTGCGGAGATAAGTGCATGTCGAAGGGAGTCAAAGGATGCTTGACAATCATCTGTCCATTTGAAATTTGATCCCTTCTTAGTCAATTTGTTCAGTGGTTTTGCCTTTGCTGCGAAGTTGTGTATAAAACGTCTGTAGTAGCTGCAAAGGCCTAAAAAGCTTTTTACCTCTGTTAGATTAGTAGGCACAGACAAATTTTGTACTGCAGAAATTTTTGAAGGATCTGTGTTTACTCCTTCCTCTGATACCACATGTCCGAGAAATTCAACAGTCTTATGAAACAAGTGACACTTTCTTGCTTTCAGTTTCAGGTTAGCAGATGACAGTCTATCAAACACCTGTGTGAGGTTTTCTAACATGTTGGTAAACGATGTTCCGATAACAATTATGTCATCTAGGTATACCAAACATATTTGCCATTGCAAGCCACTCAGAACAGTTTCCATTAGCCTTTCGAAGGTTGCCGGGGCATTGCAAAGGCCAAACGGCATAATATTAAAATGGTATAAACCACGTTTAGTTGCAAATGCCGTTTTTAGTTTATCTGAGTCATCCATGGTAACTTGCCAATACCCGGAGCACAAGTCGAGGGTTGAAAACCACTTTGCTCCGGCAAGACTGTCTAACGAGTCGTCGATGCGTGGAAGTGGGTAGGCGTCTTTGACTGAAGCTGCATTTAAACGCCTGTAATCCACACAAAATCGCAAAGAACCATCTTTCTTTTTGGCTAAAACGACTCCCGATGCCCATGGGCTATTCGATTTCTCTATGATTTTCCTGTCAAGCATGTCATCTAATTGCTTGTTCATCTCATCCTGTAAATGATGTGGAATTCTTCTGGGAGGTTCTTTCAGTGGACGTGCATCCTTGGTATCAATAGTGTGTTTAACCAGTGAAGTACGTCCCAAGTCTCTGTCTGACCTCGCAAATATATCTGCATACTTAGCCAAAAACTTCTGTAACTGAGGTATTTCACCATCATTTAGATGAACTTTAGATCTCTCAAACAGATCCTGCAGATGAGATGGCAGATCTTTGCATGGCTTGTTTACAGTAGAGGTTGGTTCAAAAACATTGTCAACTGAACTCATATTTGCAATAAATGTTCCTGGATACACTGTTTGATGTTCATTGGATGGATTCATCATACGGACTGGTATTTCTCCATCTTTTACATATCCAACTGATCTTGCTATTAACGCTTTTCCTGATTTGAGGAACTTCTCCGATGGTTCTATCATACCTAAAACTTCTTTCATGTCGTAGGATTTTGATGGCATTGAGACCTTACAATAAGTCACTATCTCACTTCTGGCAGGGACGACAATCATCTCTTTCGAGTTAATTCTAAAGCAACCAATTTTGCCAAAGAAATCAACTTTGAAAAATTTGTCGTTAACCTTAAAATTTCCATTAACTATGTCTATTGTACAATTGTAATTCTTCATAAAGTCAAGTCCAATGACTCCATCAAGAGAAAAATCTGCTACGATGACATCTTGGCTATTAAAACTCTCACCCAGTTTAACGCAAATGCTAGTTTTTCCTTTCACAGTTAAGTCGGTCCCACATGCAGAAGAGACTATTTGATTGGTTTTGTACAAAACTGGCTTGTTTTGTATAGCCTCATAAACTTTACTGGACAGTACTGACAATGTTGCTCCCGTGTCAACAAGCAAATTCGCTTCAATCCCCTGGATGGTAGCTTTTACGTACATTCCAGCCTCAGGGTCATTCTGGTTTACACCAACTTGAGCTTTGTAGGATGTGATGCATTTGAATGTGTTTTGTACAGGATGTTTCTTTGTACTATATGAGTATTTCTTTTGTGATGATGCATTTTGTTGAGTTCTATAACCTTGTGGACAGTCATATCGGAAATGGTTTGGAGATCCACACAAATAGCAGCGTCTGTTGCTGGTAGCTCCAAATTTCTTTTTGTATACAACATCCTGTGAATTCTTTGTTTTCATGTCATTAACTTCCTTACGAAGTTTTCTTATTTCATCCTTCAGCTCTACCAATATACTTGTGCTGATCTGATCTGATCTGTCTTTCTTGTTTCCCTTAGTTTTCTCTGACTGCATTGGTCGTAAGTGGGTTTGTTTTTCTAACAATTTACGATCAGATTTAACATGCTTCCAATTCGACAGCATGTCGAATAGCATCATTGAGATTTAATGGCCTTGCTTGTTTTATTCTCAATTTCATGTCAGCATCTACGAGGGCATCAATACACTGTTCTTTTGCCAGCGTTTCTTGCACATCTCTTGGTGCCGTTGGGTATGCCAAGCTTGTGAGTCTTGCTCGTTGTCGGCGTTCTCGCAGCTGGGTCCTATACAAGTCATTTTGATTCGAGGGTGCAAATCTCTCCTCTAATGCATTCACAAGTAAGACATAGTCATGCTTGTGTGTGTTAGGCAAATTCCCCAGTACACCCTGAGCCTGTCCTCTCAAGGCTGCTAAATATAAACCTTTCTCTAGATCCGTCCACTTATTCAACATGGCGCATGCATCAAAATGGGAACGATAATCTAACCAGGATCCCGTACCATCAAATGTTGCAAGTTTTATATGGGTCTGGGGTTTCTTCTCCACTGCTGTTAAGATATCGGTCTCTGCGTCCTGTCTACTAAAGCGACGATCCTTTCGGCGATTATTAATGTTTGACTCTGTTGCACTTCCAGAGACTGGTGTTGGCATTAAATAACCAAGTCTTTTGCCCTCATCAGAAGGAACACTACTTGTACCAAACAACATTTCATCTTCCCAAGAAACTTTTCCTATGGGATGCTTTTTCGGTTTAACATCACCGTGAAAGTCTATATCAGAAAATCTCCCTGATGCAAAACCTGAATCTTTTGATTTCGTATCTGATCGAACATCTGGGGTACTTGTTTTATAAGCACTTGTATCTTTGGCTAAACTAGCATTGTGAATGCTTAAACTGTCATTTTTCAACTCTTGTAACTTTTGCTCTATGAATGTTATTTCTTTGTCAATGTCGGTAATGTCCTTGTCAGCCATGTTTTACAATATGCCCACAAAATGAAAACAAATAAAAGATCAACAAATGATACAAAATATATAAACGTAATATTCCTAAAACCGCTGCCACCAAATTTGTAACGTTTTTACAAAGTACAAATGATTTATATTATAATTGGGTCCGCTTAGGATTCCTTCCTAAGAATCACGTTTATATCGAATTAAACAAACCTCAACAACAATGGCACTAAAACAAGAAACTGACTTAAATTCACTATGTATATATACGTTTTCCTCGGTCCTATCTGGATAATTGATTAGCAAACAAATATGAACTCAACGACACCGAATTATAAGAAACGAATCAACCACAATTATATCACTAACGATCAAGCAAATAATCAAATAAAGAAGTTATAACACTGTAGTTGCAGACTGAGTGGTTTAACCAACAATCCTGTTGTTTCCCGACACAGTCTGCAACTACCTAAAAAACACACCCTAAAGTCACTGAGACACCTTTTATTAAAAGTCACCAAGACACTATTCTAAGTCACCAAGACACTATAGTCACTGAGACACACTATTAAGGAACTAGGTTCCTGAGCTGAGTGGTTTAACTAACAATTCTGTTGTTTCCCGACACAGCCCAAGAACCTAGCCCGGGAGGTGTTACTCGCACGATGAGTAACGACCAAGTAACCAAATACTTCATGGGTGTCTGTATTTATACTCTTTCTAATTCCTAATGATTGGTTGATGATTCTTAAGCTATGATTGGTTATAATATCAAGCGCTGATTGGTTAAATATAAAATGATATGATTGGACGATTTCAAAGGCATTTCAATCCACCATCAATAGTCAATATCATTACAGTGTGTTTATCCCAGTATTACTGAGTTTTCATTTTTATTTCTTTTTAATACCTAATTGTCAAGTATTATCTTGGGAAATTAGATGAGATGGCATATTGTTTAATGTTTGTCTTTTTTCAAACATAAAAAAAACTTCATGCTTAGTTCAACCCTTGTCACAGTATGGTAGAGAAGTCTCTGTGAAGTGTCAAAGACAAAATTATGTCATTGTCACTCTATGCTTTTATCAAATTATCATAATGCATTAAATATTTCTTACCTTTCAACAAGAATATTTATCAGAAAAGGATAGGTCATTAAACAATATGTGTGTGTGCTGATATTCCGAATATTTATTTATAATGGGCTACAAATTGCATTTCTGGAAAAAGGCAACATATCATGTCTCAGTTGGAATGCCTGTTTGCTTAGGATGCTTTGAAATGTTCACCATTATAATTTACATATTTTTCAGTCCTTGGAGTGTCAAAATATTGTCAAGTTACTATGTAACATTGAACCAGATACGTCATAGAATATCATGAAAGGGGATACATATTTTGATAACCAAAAGCTTTCCACTTTAGTAAGACGTTTTTCATTAGAGAATGCTATTTGAATATCATGTAAAATATGAGAAAACAATCATCACCTTAAAAAATTTAAAATCTGTAAATGTTGGTTGAAGATAGAACATAACACAAATTTCTGAAAAAATTGTATCTAAATTGAACATATTATAAATATGTTTTCTTATGTCAACACTTCTTTGTAATTTTTGCATCATTATATCTTGGTCATATTTATTGAATATAATTTTCATACTTAAAAATGAAAAATAAATAAATTTTTAGTTTGAAGATGTTAAAGAAAGCCTTTACAGAATCATAAACAGTGACGGGAGTACAGAGTAAGTTGATAGTCATGAATTTAAGTAATTATGAATTATATCTTAAAGATTGATGGTGAATTGATGAATGTTGCTTTTCTCACTTTGTTACAATTTATATTTGACACATCATGTATGGAGTATAATATTTTTGTACAAGCAAATGCATGCTATTTTCACAGATACTATGAGCCACATTGGAGACACCTGCGGTGGATTCAAGATGACAGCTTAAACCGCAATTTAGAAATGAGAATGAGCAAAACTGGAATAGAAGAAAGATTGAAAATATTTGGGAATAAGGCAAATTACAATGGTTTAAAATAGATAAAAAAATAAGTGAAAAAATCATATGTTTTAAAATTCTACATAATGAACTAAGTTTCTTTCCTTTTAGGGCATGAAAGAGCTAAAAGCCCTCGTTTTGGAGGAGTTTGGTGTTTTCAAGCCAAAATCCAAGCTGTAAGATCATATTTAATTAAAGTGTTTTTCTTAATGCTCCTGAAGTAGTTGTGGATAATTCTGAAATTATTTTATTTAAGCAAGGTTTGCACTGCCTCTTGTCTGCTTGTTTATTTACATGTGTGTACATGCCATCTATGATTAGAAGTAATAGAAGTCATTGTTAATATCTGAATATGGCAAGTTATCTTTGCACTATACATAAAGGAACTTAATAAACTTATAATACATAAATAGCAAGGTAATATAGTGTTACACTTAATCATGAAATTGAAAATTCATGTTAATGGATAATGATAACAGTAACATAATTCAGAGACTTTCATTTCTCTTTTTTGTTTTTTTCATTTTATAGAAGAATTGGATATGCTCCTGGATGTTTTTTGACAGTAAAGAATTGTCAAAATGATGCATTGAGAGCAAAATTAGAAGATGAGTAAGTTTTTTTTCTACTTGTATGAATTAAAAGAATTCCAATCTTTTTAAAAATTAAGTAATATAGACTTGGTTGTCTTTTGCAGGATGGGGCAGAACATGAATGTCGGAGTTCAATATTTCAAAGACATCCTGTTTGTAGAGGCTGAAATTTGTAGTCGCCTCCATTTTGTTAAATTCTTCTATTTCAGATACTGATAGAAGACTATATCCAATAAAATCTTAAGTAACGAGAAGGAGAAAAAGCTATTTATTGTGAACAATATGAGTGCCAAATAATATAAGATCAATACTATTGACCTTAATGGTAACAATGAATAAACTTGCAGGTATATTGTTACAAACGCCCAGGATACATGTACATGTGTGTGACTTATGTTATTCTCGATATAGCTTAACAATAGACTGGGATACAGATGTTTTATTGTAATGTTATCTGTATAGCATATCAAGAGACTAGGATACAGGTGTTTGATTGTAATGTTATCTGTGTAGCATATCAAGAGACAAGGATACAGGTGTTTGATTGTAATGTTATCTGTATAGCATATCAAGAGACTGGGATACAGGTGTTTGACTACTGTAATGTTATCTGTATAGCATATCAAGAGACTAGGATACAGGTGTTTGATTGTAATGTTATCTGTATAGCATATCAAGAGACTAGGATACAGGTGTTTGATTGTAATGTTATCTGTATAGCATATCAAGAGACTGGGATACAGGTGTTTGATTGTAATGTTATCTGTATAGCATATCAAGAGACTAGGATACAGGTGTTTGATTGTAATGTTATCTGTATAGCATATCAAGAGACTGGGATACAGGTGTTTGATTGTAATGTTATCTGTATAGCATATCAAGAGACTAGGATACAGATGTTTGACTACTGTAATGTTATCTGTATAGCATATCAAGAGACAAGGATACAGGTGTTTGACTACTGTAATGTTATCTGTATAGCATATCAAGAGACTAGGATACAGGTGTTTGACTACTGTAATGTTATCTGTATAGCATATCAAGAGACTAGGATACAGATGTTTGACTACTGTAATGTTATCTGTATAGCATATCAAGAGACTGGGATACAGGTGTTTGACTACTGTAATGTTATCTGTATAGCATATCAAGAGACTAGGATACAGGTGTTTGACTCTCATGTTTTTTTCTCAGTAGCTTAAGATAAATCAAATTATATTATGATCATATAAAAAAATTAAATGTTAAAACTTAAAACAAAAGAGGGTTATCTGAGTTGTGTTAGATTGTGTTATGTTTAGATTTTTTTGGTTAAAAAAAATTCTTAATTTATCGGATGACAAATTTATCAAATAGTTAGACCTCTCTGGCATTGTACCAGAGACACTTGTTTCAGAAAAAAAATTGACCCACAGTATAATTCCTTAACCTTATCGAAGATTAACATGGTGCTTCCAATCATACATTACAAGAGATTTATAGTATATAGGTTAAAATTTTATTCCCAAACAAGTGCCTGGGCATTGTTCCTATGCGTATAAGAAATTAATTATAAACACATGTGAATAAAAGCACATATTAATCTCAATTTTAATCATGTACATACAAAGGTATTGATGAAAATGCGTGCGTACTTCAAATCATCATCTACCTGTAGAAACTGCGAGGTGGCGTGACACCTCACTAAATAAAAAAGTATGTTTACTTTGTACAGTGGGGTAAAAAAGTGAGGAATACCACTACATTTTAGAATGTACAGCTTTTTCAGAGATTAGGAAAAAATTTATATAGCTACTGCACTAAACCAAATGGTTCAAAGTTTAATGAACTCATGGCTAATTCAAATACAAAATCTTTAAGAAAACTTTGTCCATTTATTTCACAAATATTTGAGATTGTCTGTCCTTCTTAATTGTCCTCCTGATGTTTTTCTTTTTGCATTGAATACATATACTCTGTTATTATTTATACTATATGTACATCAAAATGCAGTTGCAAAAAATTTAATTATATATATATTTGTATATTAATATTATACCGGGGTATATACCTCTGAAGATTAAAACTTAGACATTGTTTATACTCTATGTTCCTCATGTACCATGTTGAGTGAATAAACTGATTCTAATAAATGAATTTTTAAAATCATTTTTAATCAATTCATGTAAATAATTCATACTTAACATTCTCCATTCTCTTTTCATAATTATTGCTATAACATGCTTTAAACTATCAATATTATTTCTTCTTCTTCATGTTCTTCTTTGAAAATTTAATTGATATTAAGGATGCATTTTAAAAATAATTAATAAGTAGAACTTATTAATTAGTCTTATATCTTAAAGAAATATTTGATTTAATTATTTATATGATTACAGAACCAGTACATCACAGGTAATTATTATGTATGTGTAAATGTATGGTTATAAAGGGAATCAAATCCAGAAATCCTGCCAGGTGTTTCATCGACAGAGCTACACAGGCCAATATCCATGGCAAAAACCACAGTACACGCATGACCTACCACAAAATTATTTTAAATTGATACCACAACTTGTAAAAGTCATTTAAATTGATTTGTAAGATCAGTTTATTTGTGTTATTTTAGTTTCAACTTAGAATATATATTAAAACGAAAGAATTAGATGTGTTTCTTCATACTGACATGACAGCTTTCTTTCATGAACTGATTGAAATTTTCCATTTATAAGGATTATTTGTTTATATGTTTCTTTCTATCTATTTTATTTATTCATTTTCGCTCATTCATTTTCTTTAGATTTATTTAGAGCGTTACATTTAATGATATTAAAAAAATGTGTTAAACTGTGCATGCCATTATGTGATTTATAGAATATTTATATAGCGCAGAGACGTCGGAAGGGGGGGGGGAGAGGGGGGCTTAGCCGCCCCCCTCCCCCACTGTTTTTGCAAACATAAACATAATATAGGCATTCAAAATTGGGTTTTTTGGTGTTTTAGCCCCCCCCTCCTCCCCTTGGAACTTGCTTCGAACACCTATGTAACGCCAATGGGAAAGAATTTGATATATGTTGATATAGTTCATTTTCCTCTAATATCTAAATAAAAATATTAATTTGAATCTGGATAGTTCTTTGGGTAAATAAAACACGTTAATTCAGAGAATCTGTGAAAGCGCTTAAGGAAGTATAAGAGTATGACCCGGAAGGGGGGGGGGCCTGATTGGGTAGGGCATTGTAAAAATTGAAAAAAAAAACTTAAAAGCTTAACTTCTGAGATATCACGCGGAAATGAAAGTTTTCAGACACAGAGAATTTTTTTTACCTTGATCTTTTGTCCTCAAAATCAATACTAATAATAGAGATCTATCTTAGTCTATAGGAATTTATTGTGTAAAATATTTCAAAAGCTCAAGAGATATCGCGTGGAAATAAAAGCGTTTCATACAGACGGACAGACATACGGACGAACAGCTAGACAAACGAACAGACAGACCGAGATTAATTTCCACCACTTTCAGTGAGTGGGATACAATTAACCTGACCAGACATTCCGGAAATAAAGTACTATTTCGGTTTTCTTTTAATGGTTACAGGCTATGAATATTCATAGCTATGACGCGGTCGGCCTCACAGATTCCATCTAACGCTTTCAACCCTAGTTCAGTGGTTCATGGGGTGTTGGCGAGATCTCGGCCGCTACGCGGCCTCGGTCAGGACAGGTCACCTCGTGGGCAAGGTCTCGGGTCCTTATTTCACCATGTTGACCTCACAAGGGGTAATTAATTGTTTATTATTTTATAGACGAAGCAAGAAAGCAACATTTGGACAAAACTTGACAAATAAAATCAGAAGCATAAAACGCACAACTATACAGGCAGTGAAATCCTGTGATAAATATAATGAAATTGGTAAGTCTTCTTTTAAAATATCTTTAATGAAATATTTATTTTGAATTTTTATGCCCCGTAAGCGGACATTTAGAGACAATAAGGTTTTATTCTGTTCATCTGTCTATCTGTTTGTCTGTCAACACTTAAACATAAGCCACAAATTTTGAAAGGTTGGGGCTAGGGTTTTCAAATATCACATGTATATTTCTTACGAACAATCCTTTTTTTTTATGGTATACAAACATTTTACAGCAGCAAACTTGGATATACCACATTTTTTGTAGCAGGTATATATGTGTCATAATGTATATATATCAAGAAAAGTATGTTGATTATTAATTGTTCAAATCACGTTTTTTTCACGAGGTAGGATGGGATAATAATAAGGAATCAGAGAGAATATCATTTAACAGTCAACCGAGTTTAATCGGTTCGTCCGTCGTCGTGCAACGTCCGTTGTGCTTAATATTAAAATATTTTCAGCTTTTTCCTATGAACCACTAAACCAATTTCTACCAAATTTGGCATATAGCATTCATGGATGAAGAGGAAAGATACTGTGAAATTCATTGTCAGTCATACTATTAGCATGATTGCACAAAGCGTTTAATCCACCACAAAAATTGTTAAATCCATGGCCCCATGATCAACGGTTCTAAGTCTAAGGTGGGGCTTTTTGAATATATGGTGAAAATGTATTATTTATTTTATAAAAATAATTCACCCCTGCTCCTGCAAAATATACATAGCTTTTATGAACAAGGGTTCTTCTTCCAAAATGTGAATTTTAAGGTCCCTGGGTAAGGGTTCTGATATTTGAGCGGGGCTTTCTAAATTATGTTGTAAAATGCCTAAAGTCTCAAAAGATCATCTCCCCTGCTCTTGGGTATTAAGTCGCTAAACTAAATTCATAGTTATGAGAAATAAGGATGCTTCTTTCTAAAATAGGAATTTAATGGCCCCTAGTTCAGTGGTTCATGGAGTGTTGGCGAGATCTCATATAAATTATGAAAATTGATTGATTGTATATTGTTTAACGTCCCTCTTGGGAATTTTTGGAGACGTCACCGTATGCCGGTGAATTTAAACCCATACTCGGCACTCAGGGCCATCGAGCAGTGAGAGTTCTTTATCGTGCCAGTGCCTACCGTGACACGTGACATACGTTTTAAAATGTCATATCCGAAAGACCCGTGACTTTCTCTTCTGATGCCGAGGGCTTGGCGAAGGAACAGTCACTACTTTTTTTTACGTCTTAGGTATGACGCTGCGCTGCGAACGAGAATCGAACCCGGGCCTCCCGATCACGAGGCGAACGCTCTACTACTAGCTAGGCTACCGTGACCGGTAAAAAGTTTTACATGTTACATATAGAAATGGTATTCTTACCAACATTTTAAAATGGTTGGGCAACATAGACTCATTTCTCTGTTATTTTTGGATCTTTATTGTGTTGCTTTATACTCAGCTGGTGGTCTTTTAGGCCCTTGAGCTTCTTGATTAAAAAAGAATCTTCACAAGGATCACTGGACAAGAAAAGATGAAACTTATAAGTGCGCTTCATGGCATAGAAATAAATCTACATTCTAACAGAAAGGGTGAGACTATAAATAGGGGATCAAAGTTTAAAGCTGAACACGACTCGTAAATAGGCATACGCCATTTTTGATAGCATTATCTACGAAACATCAATACTAGGGTGTACTCGTCGCATTCGTTACACCTGACCGCTTTAATGTCACAGGTATCGGCGTGGAATGATCCGTGTTCGTGCTGGTTATCTTGCATTACCTTTGTTTATATTTTATTGCAGTTACGTTTATCTATGTTGTTTGTATACTGCACTGACTTATGTACCTATAATTGTAAATTTATTTGGTATCTTACTTCCCTGCATTAGACGAATTATTTCGTTATTATTCTGGCTATCAAGTCCTGTGTAACATACGTCCTTCTACACCGGTTTCCACTGATTACACCGACAAGTCTCTAATTCTTGCCCTATTTATAGGAGCCTGCAGGGTAGCGAGTCTCGAGAACTAAAATGGCGGACGCAATATTTTTACGAAACATTGAATTAAAAGAATTTTAAAAAAGAAATACTTAAAAAAACTAGAACTAAAAAAAGAAACATAAATGAATGTTTGTATAATAGAAACATGTATGTATCGAACAAGCTAACTAAGTCATTTATATATCTTTGTTTCTCTCTTTATATCAAGAGGTCTAGGCCTCAAAAGTGGTCGGTTTCTTCTCCATTGGAGAGACACGCGGACATTAAGCTTAATGTGATCTATGCCGACTAAGCTGTGTTGGTAATTGATTTAATGTTGTTTAACGTCCGGTTGGAGAATGTTTCTTTCGTACTCGTTATCAGTAAAAGATGACAGCTAGGTGATGATGCCTTAT